ATACTTTTTGGTAATTAGGAAATTTACTGGTGTTTCTGGTAAATTATGCATATTATATAACCCCTTTCAGTATGGAAAAGTTAGTTAAGTTAGTTTGGGTTGTTTGCAACACATTATGGACATTTTCTTTATTTCTTATGTTAAAAATAGTCTCGACTTAGAACCAACTTTCATTACAGTCAGCCCTTGTGAACAAATAAAGTTTTTAAGTCAAGGATCCAGTGTGTATGAACTAAAAATTGATAGAATTGAAGGAGGATATAGCAACACAATTATAGTAAAAGACTACAATGTTCCAATTTCAATAATGGATAGAACAGCCAGGCAGAAGATCAACAAGGCAAGAGAGGATATAGAGTACTATAAGCCTATGTGGCCAAACAGATACACATAGGCTGTTTCCTAGTGATAGCAAAATACACACTTCTCTGCATTGCATGTAGAACATTCTGCAGGCCAGATCATGTGTTAGGCCATAAAACAAGTCCTAATGAATTTATTTTTTTTTATTTTCTTAGTTCTAATGAATTTAAAAACACTAAAGTCATTTGGACTATCTTTTCTTTTTTTTTTTTTTTGTCTTTTTCCTTTTTATCGGTACCGGAGATCGAACTCACAACTGCCTGCTTGCAAGGCAGGCGCTTATGCCGCTGAGCTAAACCTCCAGCCCCCTATCTTTTCTGATCATAATGAAATGAAACAAAGCCAACCTAGAAAAAAAATCCTGGAAAATTCACTGATACGTGAAAATAAAATAACACTCTTAAATAGGCTAAAGAACGAATCAAAGAATATTGTGAGTCAAAAGTAAATAAAAAAATATACTTAAATTTATGAGATGCAGCAGAAGTAGTGATAAGAGGAGATTTATAGCTGTAAAATTTACAATAAAAAGGAAGTTCCCAAATCAACAGCCTAAATTTACACATTAGGAAACTACACAAACAAACAAACAAATAACCACAATAACCTCAAACACAGCAAAAAGAAAAAAATTAGAACAGGAATGAATATTTTAAAAAAATCAGAAAAACAACAAAGTCAAGATTTTTTTTTTTAAGACAGACTCTCACTATACAGCACAAGCTGGCCTCGAACTCCTGGAACTCTTCCTTCCTCAGCTCAGGAGCACTGCGATTACAGACAAGTACCACTACACCCAGCCAGGAATCTGTTCTCAAGAAAGATCAACAGAATTGTCAAACTTTTGTGTAGGCTGACTATGGGGGAAAAAGTAGGGTCAATTATAATAAGAAACAAAATGGAGGGGGACACAATGTTGTTTTATGGAAATAAAAAGAATTATGAGTTGTATGTCAATAAAATAGATAGCTTAAATGATAAAATTAAAAATCCCTCATAAATCCTGTACTAAATCAGGAAAAAAAAAAAAAGACAAACCAGAAAGTGTAAACCAATCTATAACTGATAAGGAGACTGAATCAATAATTACAAACCTCTCAGAAAATGAAAGCCCAGAATTAGATGTCTTCTTTTTTTTTTTTAAAGAGAAAAAAGAAAAGACATAAAAAACAAAGCAGTAAAAGGGTACAAGTAATACAGAATTTCAAGAAAAAAAATATACAGTAAGAAATCACTAGTTAATAGGTTACATATTGTCTTCCTAGAAACAGTTGTCCAAATTATAAAATTATAGCATATAAAGTGGACATTCATACAGTGAGATTGGAGACAGTTCCATTCAGTGATCCAACAAAAGCTCAGTAATATGGTTTTCCATCCTACACTCTCGAACATACCTGCGGTTACATCCCTTAGTCCACCTTCCTTTCCTCTCTTTTTTACAATAACAATTACACTTTTTGGGAATTAGATGTCTTCTATGTCAAATTCTATCAAAGTTTATAGAAAAAAAATAACAGCAGTCCCTCTTAACAACTGAGGAAATCTTCTAAAACAATTGAAGAGGAAACAATTCCAAACCCATTTTACAAGATCACCATTATCATGACACCAAAGTCAGGGAAAGACATTGTAACAGAAGAGAGCTACTGGCTAGTATCCTAAGTATGAAAAAAATTTGCAAAGGCCAGCAAGCAGAAGCAAAGACATTAAAAAGACTATATGACCAAATAGGACCTATTTTGAGAATGCAGGATGGCTCAACATATGAAAATTAACTAATATAATATATTAACAAACCAAAGTCATGGGCAGAGCAATTAGATAGGCAGAGGAAATAAAAAGCATAAAAACTGGAAAGGAAGAAGTAAAAACTACCCTTTTACAGACAACAAGATCTTATATGAAGAGAAAAAAGATTGCAAACATACAAAACTTTAAGTATTAATAAACAAATTTAGCAAAGTTGCAGTACACAAAATCAACAAGCAAAAATAAGTTATATAAAAAGGAAATTAGAAAAATTCCACTTATAATAACATCAAAAGAATAAAATAAGTTGAAAGAGTTGAAATATATGTACACTGAAAACTAAAATATTGTTGAAAGAATTTTAAAGACAGAAATAGAAACATATCCTATTGTTCACATATTTGAAGATTTAATATTGTGAAGATGTCAGCATTACACAAAGTGATCTACAGATTCAATATTTTTAATATTCTAATAATTTTTTATAGAGATAGAGAATTTTATTTGGAAATTCATTTGAAATCTCAAGACATTCTGAGTAGCCAAAAATCTTGGAAAAGAAGAACACTGTTGGAGATCTCACCCTTTGTGATGTCAAAATTTACTATAAAGCTACCATAATCAAAGCAGTGTGGTAATGGCACAATGAAAGTCATGTAAACCAAAGGAATAGAATACAGAGCCCAGAAGTAAGGATACATATATAGTCAAATGATGCCAATATCATTTAATGGAAAAAGAACAGTATCATTAATAGTGTTGAGAAAACTGCTATCTATATGCAAAAGAATGAAATTAGATCCTTACATAACATCATGCTTTAAAACTACCATGAAACGACTTAGCAATGAATTTTTAGATATGACACCAAAAGCACAAGCAATTAAAGAAAAGTACAGATAAACTAGAAAATATCAAAATATGAAAGTTTATCCATTAAAGAACACAACTGACAGAGTAAAAAGGCAATCCACATACTGGGAGAAAATATTTTCAACTCATATCTTTGATAAGGGATTAATATCCAGAACATTTAAACTCAAAATACAAAAAAAAAAATCTGACTTTTTTTTTCAGGGATAAAACTTACAACCTTGCACTTGCCAAACAGGTGCTTACGCCATTGAGCTAAACTTCCAGCCCTGCAAAAATGTGATTTTTAAACTGGATAAAGGACATCTCTCCAAAGAAGATATACAAATGGACAATAATCACATCAGAAGATGTTCAGTATCATTAATTATTAGGGATATGCACATCAAAACCAAAATAAGATATCACCTTATATCCATCAAGATGTTATTATAACAAAAAAGTTAGCAAAAAGTTGAAATTAAAATCTTATGCAGATATGGTAGGAATACAAAATGGTACAGCTACCACAGAAAACAATGTGATGATTCCCCAAAATATTAAAAACAGAATTACTATGTGACCCAGTAATTCCACTTCTGGGTATAGACCCCAAAGAATTGGAAGTAAGATCTCAGAGAGGTATCTGTACACACATCTTCATAACAGTATTATTCACAATAACTCAAACATGGAAGCAACCCAAAGTGTCCATTGGTCTCTGATAGGTAAAACGTGGTACATACATACAATGGGCTATTAATCTGCCTTTAAAAAAGACATACTGGCCTATGCTACAATATGGATAAACCTAGAGGACATAATGCTAAGGGAAATAAGTCACTTAGACTAGTCAAAATCACAGAAAGAGAATGATGGTTGACAAAGACTCAGAGGGGGAGAGAGATCGAGAGTTGCTTTTTAATGGGTCCAGAGTTTCAGTATAAGATGAAAAGATTTACAGAGACAGATAGTGGGGCTGGTTATTCAATAATGCAAATGTACTTAATGATGCTAAATTACACACTTAAAATGATTACAGTAAATTTTATGTGCATCTCATAACTTAAAAAAAATAAGGTTAAAAAATTTTAAAATACAGGTCAAAGAAATGGAAATTATAAACTTAAAAATAACATCTTATACTAATGATACAGATTGGGGCAGCATTTTGCTATGATAAATTGAAAATAATGCAAATTTCCTTCTACAAAATCTAATTGTATTCTAACCTAAGTATTTTCAATTGCTTATGTTCGTATTTTACTCAGTTATTTTGACAAGTATAAGTTTTGCCTAATAAAAAAATCTAAAATATACTAAATTTTAAAAATACAATTTTGGGACACTGATACACATATTTTAGAATTCTGATTTCATTTCAACATTCTCTGAGTCCTCAGATTTATGCACATAGGAATGTATATTAAAATTATTTAATTAAAATATCTAGTTTCTAAATATTCTATATATTTCTATTATAGTATTCATATTTTTTCTTATTTTAATAAAACATCTGTCAAGAGGATGTCTGGCATGGGAAACGTAGTTAGTAAGGCTCATATAAGTGAAAATGTGTCAACTGATCAATATAGTATAAATAAGATGGGAATGGTATCTCTAATAATTACTGTAGGATAAAAGAAAGCATTTTAATCAAAGAATATTATTGCATTTAAACAACATATACAACAATGGTTGCTATTATTCTCAGACCACAAAAGTATTATAATACTGTACTTAGAAATTCTAGACTAGCCAGTTTCTAAGCAGTGATCTGAAAAAGGCCTAAAATGGGTGAAGGATTAATCCCGGATCATCTTTAAGGTCCATATTTCAGTAATATCAATAGACTAACTTTCAAATTTACAGCAAGTAAACTTAAACTTCAATCTAGGAATCTTTTTCCAAAAATGCAGTGAAGTTCAGTGAGGGGAGGGTAGCGGGCAGTGTTTCTACAGACATCTGAGTACGCTTGGCAGGAAAACTTGACTTAAACTGCTGTTCTAAGAAGGAAGAACATCTGCGATGACCTGATTTTAGGAATTTCAGTAGATGAAGGTTTGTCTTCCACTTGAGACAAGACAGCAAAGTTTTCCTCTTCAGTGATGCCTGCGGTAGATTCATTCATGGATGGGATATAGCTCGGGCTTTTAGAAAATATTTCTATTTCATTTAGATTAAATATGTCTTGATTATTCGGCTGAGTATCAAAAAAGCTGGCAGTCCTATTACAGGCAACTCTGCTTAGTTTACAGGAAGAAAAATGTGTATTGGATCTAAAAGAATCAAAATAATTTGAACAAGATTGTCCATCACTGACGTTTGTGTCTTCTTCAGAATCGAAGTCAGCTCTACTTTGACACCAACAAAGCAAAGACTTGCTTTTCTGAAGTCTAAAAAATAAAAACGGACTTTTTCCAGAAAAACTTGAACTAGTAGATGGACTTGACAAACAGGATGATTTTCTACTTCTTTTGGGTGTACTGACTGCGTATGTTGCAGAAGGATGATATGGATTAAGACCAAAAGAAATATTTGGCTGTGACACAGAAGAGACTCCATGATGCTGGGGGTCTGATGCAAACTGGTCTTCAAAACAGTCTGACTGGAAGCTCTTGTCCTCTTTGCAGCAGCTAGAGTGAAAAAAGGGTCAAATGAGGGGAAAAATATGAAGCAAAGTGGAGACCAGCCAAATCTCCTGAGCAATAATATCTACGTTACCAATATGGACGCAACGGGGAGTAAGAAAACAGGGCAGCTAAAGGTGATGGCCACACAGACATCCCCCAAAGAATGCAAGTATACGTAGAAAGTTATCTCTACCTACAGGTACCTGCCCACACTATTAACAGGAAGAGAAACTGAAAGACTCGTGGAAGCAGGAAAGCACCAGAAGGACTGCAGAACTAAAGGATCCCCAGAAGAAAAAGAGAACTTCTGATTTTTTTTTTTTTTTGGTCTTTTTCCTTTTTATCGGTACCAGGGATCGAACTCACGATTGCCTGCTTGCAAGCAGGCACTTATGCCGCTGAGCTGAATCTCCAGCCCAGAACTTCTGATTTTAAAGAATACGAGTCACAACATCTGTTTGGGACTATGAAACTACTGTATTTATAGAAGTTAAGCAAAATTAACATATCGTGTTGACTCACTGTACTTAAAATATTAATTATGAATGAAACAGAATCTCTCTGTGGGGGACATTTCAACTAAATATATCAGATATTTGGTTATAGTGGGGAAAATAAAAGCATGTAAGTCTGATTTATGAGTATTTGTAATTTTTTAGCACATGCAGCATGAAACATGAAACACTTTATTTTTTGCAGTACTGGGGAATGAACCTAGGTCCTTTACACAGAGCTACATTCCCAGTGCTTTTTAAACTTTTTATTTTGAGACAGGGTTTTGCCAAGTTGCTAAGCTATTTAAACTGGGTTCGAACTTGTGATTCTCCTGCCTCAGCTTCTCAGAATGTTGAGATTACTGACATGCACCATCATGATGGCTTTTTTGTTTTGTTTTCAAAGGGTTACCTTAAGCATTTTCCCATATTGAGTTTAATCCAAAGTAAATCTTCCTTTCCCTTCTAAGCCATCATCCTTAAACCATGAAATGCCCTGCGTAGGTGGAACAGGCCAGAAGACTGAATAGTTAAGCTGCTGGTGGAATTAACATGACAATAACAGACTGTGATGACAGCACACTCTAGAATCTAATGACATCAATTTAGAATAAAATTATTCTGCGGCTCAACTTTCTGCAAAGCCATGTAATTGTGGATTTTATATTTCGATTTCATTATGTTCAAGGAGTCAGATAACAAATCAAAGGGTGAAAAAAATTCCTGGCTGAGGGCAACAACATACATAACAGCTGCATTATTCTTTCCTTAAGATTCTCTCTCTCATCAGCATCTTTCTAAACCCCTGATTCCTGGATGCATCCTTCTTTCACTTAACCATTCTCGCCCCAGGTTTCTATATGTCCTCCAGTGATACAGGAAAGCTACGGATATTGGTCTGAATGATATGATAGGCGGAGAAGTTTAAAAAGGAGCAAATGTCATTGCCCCTGCTACCTGAAGTTAAACAGCCTTTGTACACGGTGACAGTAAAGCATGCCACTTGATTGTCTGGAGCACATGCAGATTGTAGAGATTTGTTATGGCACTGGTTTTACTCTTAGAACAATTTATATTTATCTAGTGATGGGGTTAACAATTACTAGAAAAGAAACACTGTTTTTCCCTTTTTCAACCCAGTTTGGAGTACAATCTCTATGATAGCTATATATGTGTATATGTCTGTAGCCACTTACAAAATATCTTCTCAAATACTTTAAGATATGTGATAACTTTTTCCGAAAGGATCTATTGATATACTATCAAGAATAGAACATACAAAGCTTATAAAGTTTCTTGAGGAATTTTTTTTTTTTTTTTGCAACACTGTCTTGGCTTGCTGTTTAAAACATGAAAGGTGTTTCATGAAATATGTCTATCAGAAGCATTTGGCCACTGAGCTATCCCAAAGGAAATAAGGAAGTCATAACTAGATTTCAGTGCTGCCAGTCATATCTTGGAGATAATGAAAGTTGTGAGATCACTCCACTCCCTATTTGAGCAAATCTACAATTATCTACATACACACACACACACACACACACACACACACACACACACACAAAGTGTATGGGTATGCGTGTTTGAAGGATAAGGAAGATCCAGATTTGCCCAAACATTTGAAAAGAAATCTCATCTTGGGGTAGATAATAGCACTTACTAACATCCTGAGTAGTAACTTATCTAAATTTCTAGTTACTCTAAAATTGACCCTTTTTGCTTATTTTTAAGACAACCAAAATTATACTTACCTCAAGAGAAAGCCATTGCCTCTTAAAATGGCAAGTATGTAACACCTATTCCTCCTTTACTCTATTGTAACTATCATTATTCTATCAATTCCACGAACCAAGGCAGGAACATCATGGCAGGAAGGTGTAGTGGAGCAAAACTGCTCATTTTATGGCAACCAAGAAAGCCAGCACTGGGGAAAAGTGCCAGTAAGCTGCATCCCCTTGAAAGGCACACCCCCAGTGACACATATCCTAACAGGACACGCAGCATGAATATTGGTGGATTAACAACCCCATGACTCAGTCACCTCTCCAGGAGTCTCTTAATCCAGTCAAGTAGGCAATTAAGATTAACTGGCACACCATCAGTTATATTTACAACTTTTATGGTAATAGGGAAACTTACTACAAAGATAATGCAATGTAGGGAAAAGCTTAACCCCTCCTATGTTAGAGCTCCTTTATTAGTGGTGGCAGTTAAAAGACTTTACACAGTTAGTTCTCATGGTACGAGATAGTAAGTTGAGTATAACGGTTTCCCTAGTCTGTAGTGCTACCATTGTCTTTCTTCTACACGTTATTCTAATATTTAAGGTGGTTGCTACTAAAAGCGCCAGGGCCCACCTCATTTCATGAATTATTTCCTCCTTGTTCTTGTTTCTATTTCTGTTTTTTTTTTCTTTCCAAAAGAAGATATCGTATTGCATTTTTACCCTTTCATTCTGTATTGATTTCTTCCCTGTGGTATATAAACAAAGTCAAGAACAACTTAAGTTAAAAATAAAAATTAAAAAAAATAAAAAAGCAAAACATAAATACAAGCATTTGAAATGAAATATTCTTCTTGCTTAGACACTCTCCTTTCATTCAAAATCAAGGTTCTTCAAATAAGGGCCTACCATTCTGGTTCTCACATCCTTGCCTCTTATGCATCTGTGTAATCTGTACCAGGTTTATATACTTATTATCACCCAGTAACCGCTCTTATAAAGCTTATAAAAATTGACCTCCTGCTGAGTATGGTGGTCCACATTTTTAACCCCAGCAGGACACTTCTTAGAGATTGAGGCAGGAGGATATCAAATTTGAGGGCAGCCTGGGAAATTTTGTCTCAAAATTTTACAATGAGCAGGAAGGACATTGGGGACTTAGCTCAATGGTAAAGTATTTGTCTGGACGTACAAGGGCCTGGGTTCAACTCCCAGTACTGGAACAGGGGGACTTCTAAGTTTCCAAACACATGAAAAAAGATTCAGTCCTTATTTTACTTGGCTAAAAACATTAAAACTGAGAGCCCACTGTTAAATGTATTTTTCTGTTTCAGGAGTTGGCAAACTATACCCTGAGATCCTAACGCACTTGCCACTGGTTTTAGTAAAGTTAAGTTGAAACCCTGCCATATTCATATGATCTATGGCTGCTTTCATACTTCCATGACAGAGGTGAATAGTTGATAAAGACATGGCATGGTCCCCAGTGCCTAAAACTTTCATACAAAAAGTTTGCCTACCCTTTTTCTAATGTACTTCATAACATTTGATTCTCTTCTTCTTCTTGATGAAATAACTCAAATTTTAAACAATTTACTATAGATTAGACACAGTACAAAACACCTTCTTAAATTAGCTCATTTAAAATTTAAAACAAGAAGAAAGAAGTCAGGCTGGGCTTACAAGTTTGATTCTGCTTGAGTGGGAGAACCTGAGAACTACACCTCCGGACCCAGCTGCCACTCCAGACCACCCGCTGAACCTTGCACCGGTGCCAGGAAAAAAGAGAATTGTCCCACCTCCAGTCCCAGGCTTCTCCACAGGGTAAGAAAGTTGACAATCAACAGACTGATTGGATCAAGGAAGAGATCAACATCCAGGAGGAGAGTTTCACTTTCAGACCAAAGTCATGCCCCTCCACAGAGCAGGTGAGAGACAACCTTGGGAGACAGGCTTGGAGAGGGATCTCCTGGGATACCCTGGGTGGTCCTGAAGAAAAGGTTTTTAGTTTAGTGGTATTTTTAGTTCTGGCACTGCTACCAACATCCAGCAGAAATCAGTGCTCTGAATTACTGTAGATCAATATAAAGTGGACCTAAAAGTCTTCACTAAAATCAGAGAACTCTTTGTTTTGGTAAAAGGCTATTCATGAGTAGTTCTTAGGGTTTGTCAAATCCACTTGACATTTGATGCCAGTGCTGTTGCTGAATTTACTACCACAGACAAGGTAACACAGTAGTGGCTGGCAACTATGTCAATACCTGGATTGCCTGGAGGAATCATAAACAATATTGTGGCCTGTGCCTGAAGAACAGGACACTAGGCCAAAGAATTTGCAAATGCCAGCACAATAAACAAGCAAACAACAACAAAACCAAAACATAAAAAGACAAGACAACCAAATGTCTCCAAAACCTCCCAACTCCCCCAAAACTGGTATTGGGGCAGTGAAGGGGAGGAAATTATAAGCTACACAGTTGAGAGGTCTGAAACAGTACCAATGGAAGCAAAACAATTCTGTTAGGTGTAGGGGAAATTGAAAAAAGCTATAACTAGTCACATAATCAGTGAGTCTAGAGAATACACTAATAAACAATTAATGGAGTTAGAGAAAAAACTCACAACACGAATGCTGAGCATATAAAAAAATGGGAGAAAAGTTCCAAAGAGAAACTGAGGACATTAAAAACAGGACTGAAAGTATGGGCAGCAGAAAAAACCAGTATGAAGACAGAGTGTCAGACCTAGAGGACCTGGCTGTGGTAAATGGTTAATTAATGAGAGATACCTTAAAAACAACAAGGAACCATGGAAAATGGATCCAACAGTTCCTGGATGAATCAAAGAGAACTAATATAAGAGTAACTGGCACAAGTGAAAAATCAGATGACAGTGCAAAGGACATAAATAATCTGCTTGTTCAAGTAATAGCAGGAAACTTGCTGCACTTGGAAAAAGAATTTAATATATGTGTAAGTGAAGTATATAGAACCCTGAACAGCCATGGTCAGAATAAAAAACAAAAAACACTCCATGCCACATAATAATTAAAATACCAAAAACAGTATGAGAACAAAATCTCAAAGCCTACTAGAGAAAAGCAATGAAATATCTTTAAAAGAATGTTCATCAGAATTATAACAGACTTCTCAAAAGACAAGGAGAGTTTGGAACAAAGTCTTTCAAACTATTAGAGAAAACAACTTCTGATCCAGATTCTTATATCTTGCAGAATCATCTTTCAAAATTTATAGAAAGATAAGAATCTTCCATGACAAAAAAAATCATAAAAAAATTCATGATCATCAAATCAACACTTTGAAAAATTCCCAAGGATATCCAAGGAGACAATAAAACTAACAACACCAAAAGGTCCAACAAAATGAATACATCAGGTAGCAATTAAGTAAAGAGAAAGGAACAAAAGACAGGAATAAGTCAACACCCATCAATTGTAACTATCAATGTAAATGGACTCAATCCACCAATCAAAAGACACAGAAGAAAAGAATATATCAAGAAACAAAACAAATGGTATGCAATAGAAAAAAAAAAAACATTTAACACAAAAAGAAATTCATAGGCTATAAAAAAATAGAAAATGACTAGGTGTGGAAGCGAAGGCCAACCCCAGACCTCCAGCTCAACCAGGAAAAGTCCAAGAGAAAATAAGTAGAAAAAATTGTGTCCACCCATCTGAAATGAAAATCTGAAATGAAAGCAGGATGTGGTGGTGTACACTTGTAATCCTAGCACCTGGGAGGCTGAGGCAGGAGGATTGTTGTGAGTTCAAGACCAGTCTTGGCTACAAAGTAAGCTTAAAGCCAGCCTGAACTGCATAGTGAGACCCTGCCTCAATAAGACAAAAAAAAAAAAAAAAAAAAAAAAAAAAAAAAAATGAAGACAAGACTGTCTCAGAAAAAGAAAAAGGAAAAAAAATTTCTGAAATGATAGTAGAAATTCAAAAATAGGTGGATGAGACCACAGAGGAAACCAGATCAGAAATAATCTCCCAGGTTTAAAAAAACAACAACAACAAAAAAAAAAACAGAGAGATGATGACCACAGTGAAGCCATTACTTAGCAAGGCTAGAGTATATATAGATTTTTTAAAAAATACAAGAGAATATGAAAACAATGGAAACCATGAATGCACTATAAGAAAGAAATGGAGTCCAAGAAACAGATTCAAATGGATATACAGGAAATTCAAAATTTCACTGAAAGTTTGCAAAACCACATGAACAAAAGTGAAGTCAGAATTTCATACCTAGAAGACAGGACTGCAGCTAGTGATCATAAAAAGAAAGATCTCTTAAAAACAACAAGGGCCCATGAAAAGCAATCCAACAACTACAAGATGATACAAAGAAGAATAACACAATATTCATTGGAGTCAATGAAAATGACATTAAAAAATTTCACAGAAGCAATCGCAGGAAGCTTCTCAAGTATGGAAAAATATTTGAATTACAAATAAGTGAGGCATATAGAACTCCGATTAGCCATAACCAAAATATATCTACACCAAGGAGTATAATGAATTCCAAAAATTCAGCACAAGAAATAATATTAAAAGCTGCAAGAGAAAAGAAACAAATCAACTATAAATGAAAGCCCAAAAGAATTACAGTAGACTTCTTAACATTAATCCTATGTCAAGCAGAGCACGGAGGGAAGTATTCCAAGTCCTGAAAGAAAATAACTTCCAACTCAGAATGATGTATCCTGAAAAACTGTCTTTCAATCAATGGAGACATAAAATAATTCCATGACAAAGAACAACTGGAGAAATTCATGATCAGTAAACTAGCTCTACAGTGTATTATGAAAGATACTGTAGAGAGAGATAACAATGCGCACAAATCCAAGAACACCAATAGAAAGAAGCCACCATGTAAGGCAAGCAATTAAAAACTAATAACAAATGCTGGAAGAGCTGGAGGGAAAAGGAACACTTAGTGAGTGCAACCATTGTGGAAGTCAGTGTGGCGATTCCTCAAAAAACTAGGATTAGAGGTCCCATTTGACCCAGATGTTCCCCTTTTAGGTATCTTCCTGGAAGAATTAAAAGCAGCATACCACAGCAATATATGTGTAGCCATGTTTATAGTGGTATAGTTTGTAATAGCTAAATGTTGGAAGCAACCCATATGCTTATTAACCAGTGAACAGATTAAAAAGATGTGATCATACACACACACACACACACACACACACACACACATTACTCAGCCATAAAGAAAGATAAAATTGAGACATTTTAAATGTATGATTTTGAGACATAATCACAAGTAAAATAAATCATACACATGTGTAAATATTACATCTCTCTGCTTTGAGAAAATGAAAATGAAAATAACGACACAAATATGCAATAGATATTGTGAAACAGGAAGAAAGTGCAAAAGGAAAAGAGAAGGGGAGGAGGACAGGAAGTGAAGGAAAGAAAACAATGAGAAAAGAAGGATAAAATAAAAACAGTTTTGTGAATAGAGGGGGGATTTGAAAGGAGATGGGAATGAGAGAAAAGGAGGAATCAAAATACTTCATGTACAACAGACATTGTGAAATGGGAAGAAACTGTTCAAAATGGAAGAGAAACTGAGATGGAGAAGGAGAAAGGAAGGGAAAAGGAAAAAATATATATGCAAAATAGTTAAAATAGTTATACTACTAAGTGCTATCAGTTCATTGAAAAGAAAGGTTTGTGCCCATATTGTTTGAGCAATTTTTCATGCTAATATCTTGTAATATGAGCAACTCATAACAATGAAGATAACAACACACAAGGTACTGACCATTGTTACTATCCTATAATCCTGTTTTGAAATTTTGTATCATTTTGTTTTTATCGTTCTCTTTAAAATAAAAAATACCACGTACAGATTTAAATTCCCTATAAAGAATGTGATCATTATGCATTGTCTAAGTTGTACCAATAAACTTAAATAAACTAAAAAAAAAAGAAGAAAAGAAATCCATAAACCAAAAATTAATGAATGGAAAACAATATTGCATACAATGGGAACCTGCAAACATGTAGGAATAGCTATCTTATTTTCAGACAAAGTAAATTTCAAGCTAAAACTGAGGACAAGAGACAAGGAAGGACAACACTACATACCGGTTAATATAACTATTCAACAGAAACAGATAATAATTACAGACATCCATGCATCAAACCACGACACACTCAGTTTCATAAAACAAACCATAATGGACATAAAAGACCAGACAAACATTAACACAAGTATAGAAGGGATTTCAATACCTCACTGTCACAAATAGATCAACTAAACAAAAATGAAAGAGGTGAAATAAAAATGAACACTGCCAAAATCCAGGAACTTACTGGGAAGTACTCCACAAACCTGTATGTCAAACAACTGGAGAACTCAGTATAGTACTAGATACATATAAATTGACAAAACTTAACCAAGAAGCCTTAAAAATCTTGAACAATGCCAATGAAATTGCAAAACAAAAACCTACCAACTGAGAAGAGCCCAGGACCCCAAGGAGTCACAGCTGAATTCTGTAAAACTTCAGGGAAGATACTCCTCAAATTTTTAAATGAAATTGAGAGGGAAGCAGTACATCCAAAATCATTGTAATAAGCCAACGTTATTCTGATCCTAACACCAAACAAGGGTCTAACCAAAAAAATACTTATAAGCCAATTTCTCTAATGAGCATAGATGTAAAAATCTTTAAGAAATACTGGCAAACAGAGTATAAAATAATTATCAAAAAGATCACCATGATCAAGTAGGCTTTATCCCATGGATGCAGGAAGGATTCAACACATGCAAATCAATAAATGTAATTCATCACTTAAACAGAAGCAAGAACAAAAACAGCATGACCATTTCAATAGACACAGAAAAAACCTTTGACAAAATCCAACATCCATTCATGATAAAAACCCTAAAGAAAATAGGTATAGAAGGTCTGAATTGAAACATGATGAAAGCCTTTTATGACAAACCGACTACCAACATCACAGTAAGTGAGGAAAAAGCTGAAAGCTTCCCATTTGAAACCAGGAACAAACAAGGATATCTATTATTACCACTCCTGTTCATTATAGTCTTTGAAATATTAGAGCAACTGGGCAAGAAAAAATAACAAAAGGGATTCATAGAGGACAGGACAAAGGCCATACATCATTATTTGCAGAAGATATCATCCTTTCTTATAAGACCCAAAACATTCCACCAAAAGACTCCTAGAATTGATAACTAAATTCATCAGTGTAGCAGGATACAAAAACATACAAAAATCAGTAATATTCATAGACCCTAATAATGAATTCACTGAAAAAGAAGTTAAGAAAACAATGTCATTCACAATAGCATCAAAAATTAAGTATTTTGGTATTAAGGAAGTAAAAGACCTCTACAATGAAAATGTCATCAGACCAAAAAAGGAAATTGAGAAGGATATCAAAAAATGGAATATCTATAATAGTTGATACACTGGGTCAACTTGACAAGTCTACAAGCTTAACTACATAATTCAGCAATTCTATATCCTTGTGTAAAGGGGGATGCTCTTAATACCTAGGATATGGTTCATTGTGTCAACCTGAGAAGTTTCGAAGTTTAACTAAGTGACTCAGCAGGAGGCCAGATTCCTCACTTTGTAAACATCCTGAGCCTGAGCAACAGTAGGACAGGCAGATGCTGTGAGGGCTACGCCCACCCTTGGTGGGGTGCAGCCTGCTTACAATATAAGGGAGGAAAAAAGGCTTTCTCTCCCCTCACTTTTTGCTCTTGTTGCTTTTGCTGTCTTCTGCCACCTTGAACTGTTGCCCAGTGAACTGTGCTGTGTCACCCTGCCTTGGAGCCAGCTGATTATGGACTGAAACCTTTACAAACTGTGAGCTAAACTAACCTTCCCTTCCTTAATTTGGGGTGTTGGGTATTTTGTTTCTGCTGTAGGAGACTCCCCTTGAATGCATAACAATTGCTGCAACATTGATTATATAGAGGCTTGTTTCTTTAGACTAATACGTACAAAGCTGATTATAGTATTTCCTTCTGTCTTCAATTGACTCTAAGCATTGCAAATAAGGCTAGCCCAGGAACTAGTATGCAACCTCTAAAGCCATCAGACAATCTCCTGTTTACTTGCATAATGCTCTCTATAAAAGATATAAGCACAGTGGGATGGCAGAGCCAATCAGCTCCAGAAATGTCAACAGGGTATGAGCTTCTAAATAAACAGGCTATGAGTCCCCAGGGCATGCAAGTTTATTTATCAGAAACGGAAGCAGCAGCCTCCAAAGCAATTCAACTGCTGCCTTAATTGAATCACACGAATTGATCCTTCTGCAGGTCATTCTCCCTGCATTTTGCAAAGATGCTTTTCTCCCTAGCCAGCTCAAGTTATTCACTCATCCTCGAGCTACCCCTTTCCTCACAAGATAATTCTGGGAGAGGCCTCAGATCAGGGTCTTTGTCCACAATCCTCACTTGGCTTCCCTTAACGCTGAATATATCTTGGTGTTTTTACTCTCACTGTGGGTTGCGCTGGAAGTGGTAGATTGGAATTAACTTGCCGGGATTCCAATAACATCTCCATGGGATTATAAATATAACTTTTTGGATTGTGAGGAAAACTGGAAAGGGGATTACAATCCTTGGATTACAACATTCAATATTTGGAATTATAATATCAGCAACCAGAGAAAAGTAATCAACACAACATCCCCTGCCTCTGGATGGGCAGAACCAACATAACCAAATGGCTATCTTTCCAAAACTGATATACATATTTAATGCAATCTCAAACAAAATATCAATGCCATTTCTCATACAGAAAACAACTT